CAAGGCAATAAAGCTAGTAAGACGCAGGGGAGCTACTGAACTGTAAGAGAATTAAAAAAAAAAGCATTATGAAGGAAAGTGAAGAATAAAAACTAAAATGGAATTAAGAGAGAAGACATCAATTGACATTGCATTTACATTTTTGAATATCAAAGTTGAGTGGAATGCAAGAAGCCGGAAGCGAATTCCACAGATGAGAAGTGTCAGAGAAGAAACTGTTAGCAAAGAACTTACGGTTACAAAAGACATTTTAACTGTAAAATAATGAGACCTAGTCGCCAATCTAGTACTGCACTTAAATTCATAAAGTCTAGGTATCATAGCGGAAAGTGCGTCAGAACAATTATGAAATTATTTATAGAAAAGGCACAGGAAAGCTATGTTACAGTGATGAGAAAGCGACTGAAGTTGAGATATAGGCAATTATACGTTTCTCAGGATTTCTTTGTTTCTAAAGACATTTTTCAGTGAAGTAACTCTGTGGAAATAAACAGTCGGTTAAGTGCCACACGTGATACACGCAGGGTCGTTCATGTATCTTTCGATACATGACTGACGAGACAGAATTTTTTTTCCCGCAGTAGGTTGCCATTTCTTTCTGTAGTAGACTGGTTGCCAACTAAGGCTAAAGAACTAGTCTGTCCTAGCTGGGGGCGGGGGAGAAGATACGGATTCATACCTTTTCTAAGGTGCGTAAATGAATATAACGACCTCGAACGGAATTCGAACTCTTCTCACCGCGTTCACAATCCGAGCCGATATCCATCACGCCACAACGTACATCTCTAACAATAAACACTTTTCGCCATATGTTTTCAGGTTTCTATGTCACAATCTCCGTTTGCGTATACATTCTAATTTTTCTAAAAAAGTTTTCCATATGTTGCTTACATTCAATCAAAATAAAGATCTTAAGTTCTCTGTAAAAGAAACGTCTATTCCAAACGACATTCTTTTACTTAATGTTTCATAAAAATCAATCGTTATCTCCTGGTTCTAATACAGACAATATGTTATAAAAGGAAATATCACTATTTGATCGCATTAAAGATTGTATCTGACGACACTAAAAATCGATAGTCGATTTCGGAATCTCTTTTCAAGGACGATAATAATCGTTTCCACGAATTAATCTCGAAATTACCAAACCCATTGAATTTGCCTCAGACTAACAGAGAAATAGGCTTCATATAATCAACTGGAAGACTAACAGACTGTCGTTCGTAATCAGGATGAAAAAAAGAACTCTGTTGAAAGCGAGGTAAACAATATAGATATGAAGACTTAAATATGAACTCGTTGCAAGAGAAAGGACTGACTGCGACAGATCTTATATAGATAGGGAACGACTTAGATATGAAATGACTAATATAAATAATGGACTGATTTAGATAGAAATGAAATGGCCGATATAAACAAGGGCTGACAATAAACAATATAGATATGAAAAGACTTTAATTTTTTTTTTTTTTTTTAAGCGTTTCACCCCAAGCAAGGCGAGACGCCACTAGCACACGAGGGGTTCCAGAGAGTTGGAGCGAGAGAAAAAAAGGAGTGATAGAGGAAAGAATGAAGAGAAAGATAGGGGATAGATCAAGATCGATTGACATTACATTTGAATAGTTGGAGATTATAGCTAGCAGGGAAACGGGAAAAGGGGAGGGAGTTCCACAGGCGAGAAGTGCGAGACATGAAGCTATTGGAGTAGAAGAGACAGCTACATTTAGGAGTTTCGACAGTGAAAGGGTGAGAGCGAGATGCCAGCCTAGTTGAACGCTTCAATTCATGAAGTCTGGGAATCAGCGGAAGCAGCTCATCGGAGCAGTTACCGTGAAAGTATTTGTAATAGACAGAGGGCGGCGACGGGACGTCTGTGAGAGAGCGACTACA